CTCCTCAGGATTTCTGGAAGATTGCTGGAGGAGTTCTGCAGGATGTCCGACGGAGTTCTGAGGAAACCTGGAGACTTTTGAAGAATGCATGAAGGATTCTTCAACGATTCTTCAAGTTTTTGTGCGTTTCCTAAGGGTTTCTGGAAGATGCCTTGTGGATTGCGAAGGATCCCTGAAGGATAATCGCCGGATTCCTGCGTGATTATTGAAGGAGCCTTGCGGTTTTCTTCAGACTCCGAAGGATTCCCGAGAATGTGTTCGATGTCTTTCGGGTTCCTGCGGGTTTCTTGCGAAACCTGGGGGCCACAGGAGACCTCATGAAGAATTCCTGAAGGATTCATGGGGGCTCCTGAGGTTTCTTTTGGATTCCGTTGGATTCCTCTGGAAACTTGCTGGTTCCTTTGGTGTCCTGCGGGTTCCCCAGGTTTCCTGTCGACGTCTGCCGGTTCTTGTGGATGCTTGAACGATGTTGGTGGGATTCCTATAGAATCCCTGAGGGCGCCTGAGGATTGTGCAGACTTCCTGGGGTTCCCTGAAGGATTCTTAGAAATTCTTGGGGCATCCTTTTAGGAATCCCAAGCAATATTGGAATTTCCTTGGAGAAACCCGATGGGTTCCACATGATTGCCGACGATTCCTGTGGATGTCCGAGGATTCCTAAAGGATTCCCGAGGGATGCCTCCCGGATTCCTGCGAGGTTCTTGAAGGATGCCTGCGGATTCTGCCATGATTCTTGAGGAATTGCTGCTCGTGAGGAGGGGGAGGGCGGAAGAAAAAGAGGAGGCGGAAGAGGATGAGGAGGAAGAGGAGGAGGAGGAGGAGGAGAAGGGCCCCCCTGTAATCGCACGCGCTGCAATTCGGCAGTGCAGGAGGACCCATTTCATCGGCATCGTTTCCACGTCCTCCGCCCTGACGAGCCCAGAGTTCCGAGTTCAGCATGGCATGGTGTTTCCGCCCCCGCCCCGTCCTCGCTTCCGCCCCCGCCCCCGCCCCGCCCCAGAGCAAAGTTTAGTCGTTCGGCCCCCGCCCCCTTTTCCTGCGGTCGCGGGAGTTCCCCTGGCTCCGAGGGCGATGTTTCCACTGGACGCGCCTCATGCTTTCGGGGGTCGGGGGGGGGCCCGAACCCGCGGGGAGGGAGAACGTGGCCGAACGAGTCGCCCTGCCCCCCGCCGCCGCCGCCGCCGAGTCGTTCGGTCCCCGCCTCCTTTCTTGAGGGCGCGGGATCCCCAAATCCCCATGGGCGACGCTTCCCATGGACGCGTTCTGCGCCTTCGGAGGTTCGGAGGGGCCCGAACCCATGGGGGGAGAGCGTGGCCGAAAGATTCAGTTTGCCCTCCGCCGTCGCCGCCGCCGCCGAGCCGTTCGGCCCCCGATTCTTCTCCCGCGGGCGCGGTGGTCCTCGGGTTCCGAGGGCGACGTTTCCAAAAGAAGTGCCTCGCGCTTTCGGGGCCTCGGCGAGCCCCCGAACCCATGGGGGCGGGAAAGGGGCGGCGAACGGTCACTTGGCCCAGCACCGCCGCCGCCGCCGCCGAATCGTTCCGTCACCGCCTCCCTTTCTCGTGGGCGTGGGATCCCCCAAACACCCGAAGGCGGCTCTTCCGACGGAAGCGTTTCGTGCCCTCGGGGGTTCGGGGGGACCTGAACCCAAGGGAAGGGAGAGGGCGGCCGACCGAGTTGCCCTACCCCGCGACGACGCCGCCGAGTCGCTCGGCCCCCGCAGCCTTTCCCACGGGCGCGGGGCCCGCGAACCTTTGGGGGGGTAGAGCGTGGCCGAACGATGCAGTTTGCCCTCTGCCACCGCCGCCGAGTCGTTCGGCCCCCGCCCCCTTTTCCTGCGGGCGTGGGAGTTCCCGTGGCCCCGAGGGCGACGCTTCCGATGGAAGCGGTTCGTGCCTTCGGGGGTTCGGGAGACCCCACTGGGAGGGAGAGCGTGGCCGAACGAGTCGCCCTGCCCCCCGCCGCCGCCGCCGAGTCGGTTTTCGGCCCTGCTCGGCTAGATGCTGTCGGGAGGTATTTTCGGCCATGCTCAGCGATCTTGATCGATGTCGAAGCTGTTTTGAGCAACGGTAGACCTTTTGGGACCAGCTTGGGAGTAGGAGGAGGAGGGGGAGACGGAGACGGAGGCGGAGGAGAAAGAAGAGGAGGAGGAGGAGGAGGAGGAGGAGGAGGAGGAGGGAGAGGAGGGGGAGGAGGAGGCGGATGGGAGGATAAGGAAGAGAAGGAAAACGACGAGGGGGGGAGGGGGGAGGAGTGGGAGGGGGAGGAGGAGGAGGAGGAGGGGAGGAGGAGGAGGAGGAGGAGGAGGAGGAGGAGGAGGAGGAGGAGGAGGAGGAGGAGGAGGGAGAAAGGTAGAGGATGAGGGAAGAGGAGGAGGGCAAAGAGGAGGAGGAAGGAGGAGTGGGAGGGGGAGGAGGAGTGGGAGGGGGAGGAGGAGGAGGAGGAGGACGACGACGACGACGACGAGACGGAGGAGGAGGAGGAGGACAAGAGGAAGAGGAGAAGGAGGAGGAGGACGAAAATGGGGAATGTGGCACGAGGGAGATGAGGAGGAGGAGGACGACGACGAAGAGGAGGAGGAGGACGGAAGAGGCAAGAAAGGACGATGGAAACAACGGCCGATGACAACCAGGATGATACATCGGGCTTTCGAAATGCGCTGTTGTGGGAGATGTGTGGGTGTGTGTTGTGAATGCATGTTGTTGTGTTGGGTGTGTGTGTGTGTTGTTGATTTGAGATTGTATGTGTTGGTGTGAGCTGCTGTTGCAAAACAACACAGGTATCAGATCACAAAAAGGAAACTTATACCAATTCCAACCAGGGCACCCATGTTGGCTCCCAGAACGAATGTAAATCCTTCAGACGCTTATTTGGTGTCTGGATCGTCTTGAAGCGTGGTACAAAAGGAATCCGACTGTAGGCCCTAAATGGCTGGTTTTAGTTGGTGCCAGCTGTGTTTTTTTGGTCAGTTGAAAAGTGTCCCATTCGCTTGTAATTGGTCCCACTCGGTTGGGATAGGTCCCACATCGGGTAAGCCCCCCCCCGTTTAAGAAAGGGAGGGAGGTGTGGGGGGGGGGGGGGCGGGCGGAGTTTCCAGAGCGCGAAAGGGGGGGGGGAGCGAGCTTCCGAGGTGCGGAAAAAGGGAGAGGGGCCAGGGGGGCTTACGGCAGAGGAGAATCAATGGGGGTGGGGTAGCTAACCCCCCCTCTTTGGAAAGGGAAGGGGGGGGAGCTTCCGGAGCGCGAAAATGAGGGGGGGAGGAGCTCCCGAGGGGCGAGAAAAAATGAGGGGGGGGGTCCGGCAGGACAGGTCCAAACGGGGGGGGCAGCTAAGGGGATACCCTCCTCCCTTCTGGGGGTGCGCCACGGGCACGCTCTCCACCCAGACGCCTGCGTCTTTCCATGCAGTGATATTCCGACTCGTGCCTCGCGGCACGGTGGCGGACTGCACAGTTGCGGTGAGCCAACCAGTTGGCCAGTGCCCGCGGCTACCCACCAGCGGCCACTCGCGAAGAAGAAGCAGCGCACGCGTGGGGCGGCACGGCGGTCCCCGTGGTGATGCTCGCCACGGCGGTCCTCGGTCCAGCTGGCGCGCGGTGTGCCAAGGATCTTCTAGGCCCGAAGCTTCCCAGATGGGGTCGGGGGATCACGCCGCGTCGTCGATGCGCAAGCGATGCGGCTCGATGTGGAGCCCCGTCTTCTCCACGCGGACGTCGCCGCTGCATCGCCGATGCATCACCGATGTATCGGCGATGCGGCGAGATCTTCCCACCCCAATTGGGAGACCTCTAGAAATGCACCAGACCACCTGCGAACTTCGCGGCGCCAGATTTGTGGTCCTGGTGAACTTGAACTTGGTCCACGGCTTGCAAAGGCCCACTTTGGCCCACTGGCCATGCGCGGCGAGTGGGCGATCCGAAAAACTCGACTTCAGCGCGACAAGGCACGCGCTCTTCCGCGCCAGGGCGTTGGCGGAGAGGACGGCAGCGCGCAAGACGGTGCGGCTGACGCCAATGGGTCTGCAGCGGTGAGAGGAGGGGGAAGCTGGAATGATACCGGAGAAAAGCCCCAATCTGAATTTGTTTGGGGCTGTAGGGCTATAGGGCTATAAGGCTATTGTAGGGCTAAAGGGCTATAGGGCGATAGCGACATAGGGCTATCAGGCTATAGGGCTACAGGGCACCAGGCACCCGGGCACCCGGTACCCGGCACCCGCCCTGGAAGACAAAGCCTCGTGGCTATTATTGGGCCGTTCTGGTGTGGAACTGTCAACGATTTTCTAGTGTCTGGTCGTGTCTATTTCCATGTCCCGCGCATCATCCACCCGGGAACCGGGCACCCGGCATCCACCCGGACACCGAGCACCCGTCACCCGGGCACCCGGGCACCTGGGCATTCGGGCACCCGGGCCCGGCCACCGAATCGGCGGCGAACCCGGGCACCCGGGCACCCGGGCCCGGCCACCGAATCGGCGGCACACCTCACCTACCCTTACATCTGGTAGGACCCCTACAGAGGCAAGCTCTGACTGGGGAAATAATCGAAGACCGCCCAGAGGAGGCGGCGGGTGATAGCGCAGATTCTTGGGGGGTCCCTGGCTACTGGTCCTGCACCCGCGCAGGACTTCGAGCCCACACCGGAGGGGGGAAGGTGGAGGGAGAAGCGAGGAGGGAGAATTCTGGCGTCGTGATTGTGTTCGCAACATGGCCCCTTGAGGCCTCGGCACCATCCCCAGACGGTGTCTCGCCCTGGATCGTTATCGCATGGTTCCGGAACCCGAAAAATAGCCCCGGATGCCGAGATCACAGAGGAGCGACCGCCGTGATATGTTTTGCACACGACGTGATCTTTTCAATCCGCGGCATGGGCGGTTTTCTTCCCGAATCCATATTTGATGGCCCCGCGGGCCCGAAAACGGCCCACATATCCGAGATGATGGAAAAAGTAGAGACGGAAAGGAGTCACAATCGAACGCAAGTTTGGGGGGACAACGGAGCCAGCGAGGTGACCGGGCTGTGGGGCGACCAGGTCGCATGGAACGAGCAGCTGGAGGCCCGCTGGGCGGCTGGGATGGGTCAGAGAAAAAGCGGACCAGCAAGGAGCGGAAAGAGGAAGGGGAGGAGGAAAGAGGAAGGGGAGGAGGAGGAAAGGAGGAGGAAGGAGTGGAAAGAGGAGGGGTGTGAGGAGGGGGAGGAGGAGGAGGAGGAGGAGGAGGAGGAGGAGGAGAAGGAGAAAGGTAGAGGATGAGGGAAGAGGAGGAGGGCAAAGAGGAGGAGGAGGAGGAGGAAGGCCTACTCCGAGTTTCTTAGTAAGTGTCGGGGGGGGCGTCACCCCCGCCGACAGCCCCACATCGACCCCCGTCGCGGGCAGCCATCGCGCGCCGACAGCGCTCCAACCCCCGTCGCGACGCGACGACGAGGCGAGGTTGACCCCCGTCGAGGGGGTACCCCCCACGCGCATTAAGAAACCCAGAGTGCCTGGGCGCGAGTTATCAAGACCAACGGTGGTGTCTCCATGGCGGCCTTCTTCAGGCGGATCAGGACACGACGTGACACGGACAATGCCCTCAACCACTGGCCAGCCGGACCCACCCACATACGACATTGTCGAACAGCGATGTGGATCAGGACCAACCGAAACGACACGATCAGGAACGACCCTGAGGAGAGGAGAGCCCCCATATCCGCAATACCATGAGAAGGGGCCAAGGAATTCACCGACAACGACATGATTTCATTTGACCCACCACATATAAGACACCAACGCAGCAGATCCACGAAACCGATTTCGAAGATGCGGAAAGACGGGCCGCCCGTTCCATCACGTATCCCAGGAGCGCTTGCGAGGCCCACGATTCAGTTTCCGTGCCACCAACGAGCACAGCAACGTCGCGGAGGGCAGCGAAGCTGTACCATTACTGAGGTGGTTGGTGGACGTACTGATCACCGACGGTGCTCGAGCAAGATCCTCTTCTTCAATTTGCACAGTGGGCACATGACACCCCCGAGTTCGGGAGGCTTGCATTCGGAGCTAGACGGAACATTTGGAAACCCCGCACCACTCATCGAGTTCGCGGACGAATCATTGGAACATTTCACGAATTACACAGCGGAATACCGTGTCCCGCTTGCCGTTTTCGGCGGGCACGACACAAGATGCGCATTCCTTTTGGGACCACGGTCCAAGAACAGCTTACACTGGCCATCTTTGGGGGGCATGGGGTGTTACGGCCCCGCCGACATCGAGCCAATGAGAGAATTCCACATCATCGTGGCAGCTCCCACCTGACTGCCACCATCCGAAGCTACAGTGGCGCGACGCCTTCAGTCGAGAGTGCCACCCGATCGTGTCGAGACGGATAAAGTATTAGCGCGTGGACGCATGGAGATTTCATGTCCACAATTTATGTTGTGCATCCAGACAACGACCTGAGGGAAGCGGCCAACAGAGCACTTACCGCAGCACGCAACGACAAGTACAGCAGCGTTTACAGGTGATTACACGGGGATGCTTCAACGTTCAGGACCCGCGCAGCACAGGAGCGCCGCTGATATCACCCCTGTTCAGCCCTGAGGCATTCAGATCGTTGGCGGGAAAGGCCGCTACCACCGCGAACCGTGCACAGCAACACCCTTCAGAACCGCAGACCCAGCGAACCCACTCACGGGAGCAACACCGCACTAGCAACCGACTTACGAATACCCACAAGCAGCACCAGTGCACCCACCACCAGAGCACCCACCAAACCACAGGAAGTGGAACCAGGCAGAACTGGCAAGGCTGTCCAATGAGCTACGCAGACCGTCGCGCATGCCCACATATGAGACCCACCTGCCGCCCTGGCCACAGCCGTGGGTACCGCATCCCACGCCGAACGCGACAATTTGGGAAGACCAGGTTTTCCTATTTCAATGCCGACACCCTCGCCTCGGCATGGGACGACCTAAGCAACGATTGCCACTCCGAGGTTGGAAACGGGGAGCGCCTACACACAACGGGGTGTTCTTCGACAACGCGCAGAGCGACCTGGCGCGCAAAGCACCGTTCGCTCCACGGACAGCGAAACCACTTCCACCACTGCCGAATCCACCATTGTCACCCAAGCGCTCGGTATACGTAGCCCTCGTAGCGCTCGACACGCACGCATTGAAGCCGAACGACGCCAACGACTGCTACAAGACACACCTCGACGAGAGCAAGCGCCAGGCCAACGAGACACGAACACACTATTGGGCTGCATCACGGACCACCCTGATGCTGGACCCTGCCTGGACCGCATCGTGCGAGCCCAGCTTAACAATATACTGAACAGGGAGGGCTTAGTCAGAGTCGCTCCTGGACCCCAAAGGCAGCACCGCCAGCAGCGCCACCGCAGAATCCCAGCTACGTCCAGGCGCCCAAGGCAACAGCAACCACTGGGGCGACCAGCTCCTCGCGCACGGACGCAGCACCAAACCTAACCGATCAACGCAACGAGCAAGTACGACGGGACCGAGAGAACCCGATGAACCCGTTCGGCCAAGAGCCCCCTCGCGCCGCAAAATGTACGAACACAGCAGAGTCCAACAGGGAAACCAACAAGCGCGACCACGAATCCCCTGACTGATGGCGACGCGATACCGCGCGACATTGACCGGCTGCGCGACAATGCACGAGCGAATTCCGACGCGGCGCCATTCCGCAGCCCAAGCTTTCACTGCGGGCCCATCAAAATCAGGGCCACGACTCGCCGTGGGCCGAAGCCCCACAAGGCCCCACCAACAGACCATTTGCGCATCCATGAGGCCCCAGCTAGACCGCCGCCCCCAGGGAGCGGGCCAACAGGCGCGCAACGACCAACTGGAGCGACGGCCACGCACAACCATGGCATGCCCCCACGCCCAAGCGACGATCGGCGACTAGGACCGAGAAGAGAAAACTCAACCCGCCGACAGACGAGCCAAGCACGGCATCGAACGGGGGGGCCCGCAGATAGCCCCGCCTCTAAACCAACCCCACCTACAGAGCGGAAGCCCCGACCCGACAGTCAAGTCGACACCCGCGATTGCAAATTCCGACGCGCCCGACAAACCCCCAGAGAAAGCCGCGCCCGAGGCCAGGGCGCGCAGCGGAATGCCCACCGCATGCACTGCGGCACCAAATGGAGACGCCCATCGGGGCCAAGAGTGGCACCACGGAGACGGTGACGGAGCACGTTGCAATCAACCGCCTGGCGGGCGCGATCAGCAGCACCCAGCGCGACGCGAAGGACCTACGCTTCACGATCCACGCACACAGGATCATTGGGGACAGTCTCCACAACTTCGCTAACCCAGCGACATCGACGAGCCGACAGCGGTGGCGGGGGCGCGACACGGTCGCGGAGTACTTCGCCAAGACGCTACCCCGAGACCCAACCACCAGCGACCACAGACTAGCATTGTTGAAGACTACGGACCGCAGAAGACCACCACGAAGAACATCACCCACCAGATGATCAGCACGATGGCCTGCCCAACCAGAAACGACGAATACGGCATCCCAAACATACATGCACGCACAGCGGGGCTGCGGCGAGATCTTGGACTACGTCAGCATAGGCCACCTACATAGCCCTCGGGGCAGCCCAACGCCAGCGGCGCAACTCCATGTCAGGAGACAATCGCAGGCGACATGGTCCGACGCATGAACCGACCGCCCATTGCAGGGCTTGCGCTCTCCACGGACAAACGCACGGCACGGCGGGGCCCCAAGAGAGCTACTTCGCCAGCACCACGCGAGCCCCCCACGCCAGACCACCACCGCGGCCTCAGGCCCGAGAAGAGCACGACCCAGGTCATGATCACCGACAACAGGGGCCCCACGGACAGCACCAAAAACGCATTCGGCACGCGCCATCCAATCATGCGAGCGGATGCGAAAGTTGGAAGCGACGACAACGAAGAGAAATACGACTTTGGTTACGACCACAAGATCGGATCGCCCAAGATGGGAGCATCTACCTCCGAGAGTCCAACATGCGATTTCTACCGACCACAGCACGCGGGAGCCGCCGCGCAGGCGGGCGAGCCCTCGACGCGATCGTCGACAACGCCGACTCCCCCCTCGGCGCAGCTGAGCAGGCCCGCGACACGGGCCAGCCTCCTCAGAGGCGCTACTGCGCCCCCCATCCCCCGCACCATCGGACTAAGAGGCGATAGCTACCCTCGTTCCCAGACCAGGCCCATATCACGGAGACCCGTCAGCGCATCACTCACTCCGCCAATGTTGCTCTCGGGCAGTCGGCACAGGAGCTGCCCCCATTACCAACGCCCAACCTCTGCATTATCCCTTCGCCGAATCGCCGCGCTCGCTCCCTGCGACAGCAGCAGCAGCTGCTGGACCGCCCTCTTCACGACCACGCATTGCGACATTCACCCTCTCAACACTCGCCTCGTCTCTCCACCCCGGGCCGCGGGGCTTGCGGCGCCGGCCCCGCGCCCCGCACTGCAGCTCGGCACGCGGCGTCGGCTGCGTCGTCGCAGGCTGCGCGCGCAACAGTGGGCCCGCGGTCAACGGGCTTCAGAGCCCGCCGCTGCTTCATCACCGACCGGATGTCACCGAGCGACGCGACGCCACGCAGCATCCTACGCGGCGACAGCAGCAGCAGCGCGGAGCTCGCCACGCCACACAGTGGGCCCGCGGAGATACACGGCCTCGGATACCGCCGCGGTTTTTCCGCTCACGGCACGCGATGTCATTCGACGTCAACGTAGTTTGGCGGGAGCCACCTCATCCGACATAACACTGATATAGCTTCGCAGCCACACAGGGCCCCGAAACCTGCCCCGAGATTTTCACCCACGACGGCCAGGGCGAACGCAGACTGACATATTCCCCTCACGCGCTTTCCCAGCGCCACCGCAATCCCACCATCGGGCGGGGCTGCGGAGGCACGCGACGCGAAGAACCATTATCAGGTTGGCCTGCCGAGAGTTCTGGCACAGCCTCTCGCTCCCTCCTGGCTCGTCTGCCCATGCCCTCGCAGGC